TGTGAACTATACAGAATTAGTTAACAGATTTTTTTTTTTAACCCACACACTCGCCATAACATTCATTTAGTAAATCTGAATAAGAACTCTATTCAATAGCAACACAATCTGCATGTGAACATTCTGTGAGGAGAAAGACTAAATCCCATGAATCGATAATTGGTTTCAATTGTCTTGGTTCTGTTTACTATCTACACCATGTCTGATGAGTCTTAACTTATTGATGTTGGACATCCTCTGTTTTAAATCTCTGTGTAAGGCTTTGAGCGAACAAAGCCTACATTTACTTTGACTTCAAGGAGAATTAAGCATCTGCAGAAGTGTTTTCCAGACTCAGATGGACTTTATTAGCTCTGCTGTCACAAGCTCAGAAAAAAAAAAATAATTAAAAAATCACAACATCATCTAATTTGAGACAAGAGACCCTTCATTTAATGGATCTAATCTTGCAAAACAATACTATTTATATAAAGCTGGTATCCTACATAATATTGTAGTTAACATTAGCCTAATAACTATTAAATATTTGTTATTACCAATACAATATTGGCCTGTTGATTTTTAGTACTGACAGAGCTGCCCGAAACATCTACTGTTTACAACATTTGCTCTAGCTAGAGAGATCTGATAGAATTTGCTAATCAACAGCAATCGCTTCCCACCCATAAAACTGATGCAAAGAAGGGGAAAAACAGCTAGTGGGATCCAAAGACATAAACACTTTTACTTATAAATCTGTAAAGAGAAATTCCTCTCTCTCTCTCTCTCTCCATATGGTTTTCTCTTGGCTCTTAATCATCTTTTCATTGGCTTCCAGCTGGCTGTCTCACTATCAGCTAGCAGTATCACTAGCAAGACCAACTTGCGATGCCAAAGCCAGGCACAGAAAGACGAGAGCTGCAGAGTAGCATGACTGGAGGCAGCACTCTGCTAGGGGCAGATCTAGCAGAAATCACGCATGGCCGGGTCACTTCACTTGCCTCAGCAGAGCAACCACTGCTGCGCTCCCAAAACACAGCAGCAGGTCTGTGTTCACACGTTTTAGGAGCGGGTGTGAAGAGCAACTACTACAATTGAAGCCACAGGGAAATTCTGCAGGCAGAAGTGTAATTACCTGAGCGGGAATTCTGGCAGAAAACCCAAGCCTCTTTCTCTCCTTAAATAGAAACAAATGCTGTGCAGTCACCATGGAGAGATTACGTACAGCATTTGGATCACAAGCAGCACTGAAATACAACACACACACAAGAGAGCCAGCCACTGAACTGGTTTAGCAATGCACAGCCAGATCTCCATTGACTACAGCCACTCAGTCAGCAGCTCCCCTTCTAGCCATCTTCTCCTTCCCAGTCTTACAAATATTAACCTATATGTCAAAAGTCAGGCTCCACATTTAAGGCCAGCTCTGCAAGCTGTTTAGCCCACCTAGGAGGTACCCAGAGCCTGACACAAAAGCCCTGACAAATTAATCCACTACCACCCAGGTAAGATGTCAAATCAGGAATAGAAGAAAAACCCAGGGAAAGAAACATGGTATAGTGCCTGTTTGTGAAAGTCTACTTGGATTTAGCTAAGCAGCCAGTCTTTGAAGCACAGCAGTTCTTGCACAGCCTGCAGAGGCTTTGACTTCACAAAAATTCTTAGTTTTGGTCCATATCCAACATCTCTGGTTTTCAGACACCTTACGTGCCTAGACCCACCTCCTCATCTCTCTCCCTGTCCCGTCCTTCTGACCACTCCACAACCCAACTCATTTTTTGTCTTCCACCCCCACCAGTCCCCAGACTCAACCCAGCTGCCACCTCCATCTCCTGGGGTAGATCTTTCCTCTCCACTCCATCACCCATGTCCCTAGCAGACAGCTTCCTCCTTGAGACTGCAGCAGCACCCAGGGGGGAGAGTCACCAGTGCACAGGGAAAATGTGCACCCTCTTCCATTTTCAGGTACAGGTACAGTATGGGCTGCAGTCTTTCAGAGTCCTTTTGGCCTTAAATTCTCTCCCAAACAGCTGCTTGGGCTTACTAGTAGTCAAGGCACTTCCTCTGTAGCTGCCCAACTATTCAGTCCTATTTTCAAAGGGCAATGTGGCTGCTCAGAGTCCCTGAAAAATCCCCCCCGACGCTTTCTATTGTTTGAAGTCAGTAGGAACGTTGTCAGACTAAAAATGTCCGAAATTTGCCTCACTCCTTCAAATCAGCCAGGCTTTATTTTGTTAATAACTCCAGCCAGCCTCTGAGCCTTAGACAGATAAAAAGCACTCTCCTATGTGTCAGGCTGGTGATACTACATGGGAATCTTTCACTTACTGGGAACAGCGAAGTGTTGCTGTGTATCAGGGATGCCATTTCACTGATAGTCTTTTTCTCATCTCTCTGTAGTAGGTCACTAATTTAGCAGCATAAATCAGAGACAGCTGATAAGGTTGTAGACACCAAGATGTCCTGCCTCCCATTCAGTTTTCCTAATCATCCTGCAAGCTAAACAGCTTTGGAGTTTTGAAAACAACTCTCATTTTAAAATAGACATACATTTCAATTTCCTCTGCATAACACCAGCTATTATAGAAACAGCTGTTTCTGATTTTGCAGTGATTTTCTCTCAGCACGTACATCCCTGTGAGTGGCTTTTGTTTTCATTCTCACAAGACAAGGCACTTGTTCCCCCTTCCCACCATTAGTAGCCTTCTCACAGCTTCTCTTTTTCTCCAGTTTCAGTGTTGGGCATCACATAGGCCCTGTTCCATGGGTTTTCTTAAAGGGGAATATCCTACATTTGTATTTATGAAGAATTATCCTCTATTTTTGAACCAACACCATACATCCTAGTGCCTTGACTGTACCGAAACTTGCTCATTCTTAATTTTACAGATTGATGAAAAGCTGCTAAAATGAGAAGACAACTTTCTATCTTCAGTCAGCATCAGCGTGACAGCAGTCTGCTCTCGAAAGCCTGTAGCTTCGATTGTTCAAAAACATACTGTTCACCATGTCAATTTAATCATGTGCAGAAGATATTAAAAGATCAGGCTCTAAAGTGTGCTAATTCTGTTGAGATCTGAGAAAGTTCTTTTCATAAATATGAATAGGGACCAATTTCATGCCACTTGTTACACGCCAGGTACTCTTATTTCTTCAAACTATCACTTGTCTTTCTTCTTATGTGTCAATAATCAATTTGTAAAGCATAAATTACAAAGCTTACCTGAGTTTTGATTATGCTACAGCCTATGATTTTACATTTAATCATTTTTTTAACTTTGATAATTGACATTTAGTTTCCCTTTTATCACAAATAAAAATCACCTTTTTGCAAGGATTAAAACTTCACCTATTTATAAACAAGTTTCAGAACTGCACCGTCACAAGCATTTAATCAGAAATGCAAACAAGAAACTCAGCCTGTACATCATGTTCTGTCATACATCAAGCAGCAATCATATTTTGGCATTATCACATACAACCTGCAAACATCTGCTAAAGAGAGAAGAAACAGCAGTAACAACAAAATACCCACACACCAATACGTTATTTGGCTTGCATTCTGTGTGAATTCAAACTGGACACAAGAATCAGGTCCCTATTCATTTGGGATGCAAAAAAACCCAAAATTTCTTGGAAGACACCCATTTCTCCAGAGACACAGATGCACATCTGGGAGTTGCCTGCAGCTGTGGGATGCCAGCACAGGTAGGACCCCACCGCCACACGCATGCGTTTCGAGCTGGGCAGAGCCGCCAGCTACAACCTGGCAGCCATGCAGCAGCCTTAGTGCAGTGATTTGTGCAGCCAAATAAGGCACACTGAGGCGGGGAAAATCACTTTAGGCTCGCTGCCACATGAATGAGTTTATTCATCTTTCCAACCAGAGCAGCCTAGGGTTTGGACTGCAGACAAGAGGAACACGCAGGGCTGCCTTCAGCCATCCCTCCAGAGCCATCCCTTAGGCTGGAGTCATCCTGTCTCAGTGTTGGGGTTCATTTGATTCTGGAAGTTCACCAGCCTCACTGCTTGAAAGACAGATCAGTCATGTAAACATCTCCATTTCACTTATAAGGAAAAGAAATTTGGCAAATTTTACAGAAAGTTTTCCACTAAGAATCAGGGCAAGGTCACAAGCTGACATTCATTAGTTACCAGGGCCTCAGAAAGTTAAAAAAACCCAGTAACTTCTCATAGGTATTAATAATTACTTGGGGGTTTTGAATCTTTTTAATTCATACAAAGAGTCAGTTTCATGTAAATATCTGTGAAAAAACGATTTATTTCCTCTAACTATAACAGCTGATGATCTCAGCACAAGTGACCCAAGACATGATCTTCAACAGACAGCACTGCCTTAACATTTCTCTGCTGACAACCTCTTAGAAGCATGGCTGCTTTTTTCTTTTTTTAAATCTCCTACAGACATCTACTTCCAAGGATGTGAACAGCCTCAAACAGTAATCAAGAAATTGTACAGTGATCTCAAAGGACGCTTTAAAACATATTCCCTAGTCACAGCTTGCCTTGCTGCCTGGAATTCCACGTCCAGCACTGATCTTTTCCAAGTGCTAATGGTGCTGAAGAATACTTAAGAAATCCAACCAGAGACTGAAATGTATATTTTACATAACAATATCTTGCTCATCAAAAAAAGCAATCCAAAACAAAACCAAAAAAAGGGGAAAATAAAGGCTAGAGATACTCAAGTGTCTTTGCTTGAGGTTCACTAACCCCCTGCATGACCTGTAGAGATTTGCTGTGCTCAGACCAACATCCCCAGCTGCACAGAAGAAACACATTCCCCCTCAACTTCAGATGAGGGCATCTGGACAAAGATGATGATGTCTGTATGCCAGGACATAAGAAAGCCTTCTGTGGTGTTATTTATTGTAGCAACAGGCCCTGGCAACAGTTAGACTCCATGGTGATAACTAATAACCAAGCGCCCAAGGAAGAGACTGGGGCATTCCTACTCCCTGGACTTGCAGCAAGGAGCAGCAGATGGTCACAGCTTCACCATGGGCTGCAATCTCTCTAACAGGGTCGCTGTCACACGGCTGTCTTCTGAGGAGCTGCAGAACAACCAGGAAGCCAAAAGCCAGGTAGTGAATTCTTCCAGATAGACTCTCTATAAAGTATGTTAGGAGATGTCTTAGCATACAAGGACATACAGATAACTGAGAAATGTTTTTGCTGATGTTAACAGTAGCTTCAAGTCTGCCAGGGGCCTCTTTAAGAGAGGGGCTATCAATCAGCTTAATACAACCCTTACACTACAGGGGATGGAGACTCACCATTTGGCCACATGCATGACCTGATTTTACAGCACCTGAAAAGAGGCTTTTCACAGTCTGTCTCATTTGCCTCATTAAAGATACAATTAGAGGCACTTACCTCCCACACCAGTGATTAATTGCACACTGCAGCAAGGTGAGTTTTGCCTCCAAAAGTGGTTATGAGGTGAGGGGCATATATATATATATATACAAATATTATAGGATGCATGTGCACAGCCACTTTGTGAAGTTTGCAGAGTTGCATTGGCTCAAGCCCAAACATACAGAGAAGAGACAAAAATACATCTAGGCTCCAATCCTGTATTCCTTAGAGGTTCAAAGCTATTGTTTAAAAAGTGCACAGGTTAACAGTACTGAAACAATACTCCAATATAGTCGATTGGATTATGGACATATTTAGGCTTAAGGTCATTGCTTCCTTTCCAAAACACTCCAAGAGACCTTTCCTCACCATCAACATCCTCCTATGACAGAACATTGATAAGTGTCAGGAGTGCCTCTGTCTTCTACTCCACTCAGAGCTTGCCAATTCTGTGGGACTATTCTAGCTACCACCGTAAATGTTTAAGAAGCCCAAGGAGCTTCTCATTTGTTTCTTCATTTTCTTGTAGACTAAAAATGACAGCACTGCTGGAGCAGAGGCTGTCCCCTTGCAGGATGGCGCAGCTTGGTCAACAGGTATTTCAAAGGATGGAGCCAAACTTGACGATGAGACGGGTGAGGGAGACTCCCCTGAAGAACAACCAGAAAGACTTACATCTCAGGAAAGCAGCAATGTACAAAGCAGAGGTAAACAGTAACTGAAGCTCATACCAGCTCCACAAACGGGGATCTGGGAGCAAATAATCTTGAGACTCTGTTGCTACAGCCAACTTCTACACCCAGAAACATTCATGCTGCGACACCACAAGGACTGAGCTCTTAGCACTGGTTCAAAACCATGCAATAGCAGCAGGAAGTTCTTCCTAGCTGATGATTATGTTCAACAGCATGACACAAGCCTCACCACCAGAGCAGGCAGCAGGGTTGGTATTTTTCTTGGCAGGCGCCTGGAACAGACCAAGGGAACAAACTCAGCCTTGTCCCCAGGGGTAGCCCTCTCTAACAGGGATTAAGGCACACTGGAAAGACGTCAGTCTGCTGTTACTGTGAGTCAGTTTTTACAACAGGGTGGTCAGTGCAATGCCCCTGACTACCATCAGGTAGAGGCAGAAAGTAAATGCCATGTTACTGCTTAAGTTTGCAAGCAAAAGCTGCAGGGACAGTTATCATGTAGAGAAAAGTAAAAAAACGCCAGACATTGTCATGATGATAAGCAAAGGTCTGCTAAGAATTATTTTTTTTAAAGTACAAGTGAACAGTTAAGCCCAAATTTATCTATAATCTCAGGATACCATTGTAGTAAGAGTTGCTAATGGAAAAGCAGCACCATCTTTGGCGCATGTAAACCCCCTAATTTTGTAGTTTAACTCTTGTATTTTTCAAGTGCCGCGAACAGCTTACATTTCACAAACACACTAAATGGAAAATCTACAGTGGTTGTTTACTCTTTGTAATAAACAAAGGTTGTAATAAAATATTTCAAATCAAACACAAAAGGAATAATTACTGGTGTTTGCTATTCATTAAAGAGGACTTAACTCCCAATGCCACAGAAGGACATGATGAAAGGATTTCATTTCAGATTGAACAAAATGATTTGCTTGCTCTGAAATAAAGTGTTTCATTTAATTTCAAGTTCCTTTTCCTCCCACTTGCTAAAAGATAACTTCACAGGAAATTTCTAAACAAAGTTTTCGAAATCATGCTTCAATCTTCTGTTTCAAGGCAAAACCAAAAAAAAACCCCATACCGTACCACGATATTTCAACTACATTTTTCTCCTGAATGAATAGATTAGTAAAACCTAAACAAATTCACATCACTTGTCAACATTGCCCACTCATCATCCTTTTCTTTTTTGCCAAGATACGTTTTGCTGTATCCTGGCTTCTGACATTTATGTGTGCTGACTGACAGCTGAACTCCGGTGCTTTTTGGGTGACTGGTTCAGTTATTTTAGGAGAGGTATGGAGTCAGCCTCTACAAGATGGTAGATGTTCTGTATTTTTGTTTTACAACTAAAAAGTAAGCCAACATTGTCATACCCACTCTGCTTATAAAGACTGGCAGATGTCAAATAACTCTGATTTTGATTTGGTCCGTGTATTTTTCATACAAAAGCTCTCATTTCTGCCAATGGAGGTTGGGCAGATGGTAGAACTGTCAACTCAGGGCTGAAAAACCTAATGGGTCTTGGCAATAGAGTTGTTCGTTGTTTATTCATGTCTAATATGTGGAAACTAAACAGCCACTCCGAAGGGTTATCAAAATAATTTTTTTTTTTATTCTTAATTGCTGTTTCTAAATATATAATTAAGTGTTGGAATGCTTATGATCAGACTCAAATGTAACAATGCTGTTACAACAAAAATCATAGACCACAAAAGCACGTGAAAGTTAGGGTTCATTTAACAGAAGAGCACAGCAATCTCTATCAGACTGCCCATTAGCAGGCTTGTGCTATGCCATCCCAGCCTTGGTTTCTCTGACCAGATCATAGAACCATTGGGAACTTGAGTTGCTAGTAGCTCCCTATGGATTCTCTTTGGGAACAGGCTCAAAAATTAGCTTTGCAGCACACACCTTCCATGCTTTCCTGAACATGCTCCTCCAGGTGTAACTGACTACAGTGAGAAACTGAACTAGGTGCCTGCACCGTTCTTCAAGCCATTAAAAAGCCAACTGCAAAGTTTAAGCAGTGAAGAGAGCCTCAAGCAGGCCTTCTCCACTGGATGTTCTCTGTGTGTAACCTCTTAAATAAAAACTGTGGCATTGGAAATACATCATGAAGTTTTGTTTGACTGACAAGTGCTCTACAAGCACTAAGTTTTAATGTTTTCATCTTTTGAAGACGCACTCACCAGTGAGTTCTTCAGTAAATCATGGCCCTTTCAGGAAACAGAGAGGCAAAATTCAGCAGACATTCTTGAGGAGCTGAGGATGCTGGGAATAATCAAGAGCCAAAGTACCATTGCCAGGATTGGAGAAGTGAATGAAATCAAGGTGAGTACCATTATATGAGCCAGGACCCCTGCTGTGAGCACCCCAGGATTCAGTTTCTGCACATGCAAAGCACCAGGCACATCTTCTCTAAGGCTTCAGAAGCAAGTGGTTAAACACTGAACTATATTACGAGGATGTTAATACAACAGAAGCTGGCAGCAGTTTTCAGTTGTTTAGAGCTTCTGGGCTTGTTTCAAATGGGGACAAAGGAGGCAGTGACAGTACTAAGAACTCGCTCTTTGAAAAACTCACTGGAAGTTAGATGCCATAAACTTGTTTCTCAAGTCCACAAAACTAGAAGAAATGCTGTTTATAATTATGCTCAAATTAAGGCCTCAGAAATCCTAAAAATTCACACTTCTGAGAAATCTACAAATCACACTTAATCTTAGACTAAGAAACCATTACAAAATGGATTTTTTTAAAAAATTACAGATCTGGTATTTGACTATGAAGCTAGTGCCCATTTTCTTTTCATTCTGAATGATAAGTTCAGAAGCCAAAATAAATCTCAGGTTAAGCTTATTCTTTGTTGTCAAGCATTTTGTCAAGGATCAGATGCCCCTTCCAGATGGAGCTTCTAGTACAGATGACAGGAGGGAGAAGGTCTGCAGGGAGTTTGTAAGAAGTTTAATGCATTCATGGATGTGTGTTGTCCAAATCATGATCCCACAACTGCTTGGGATCAAATCAAGCTCAAACCAAAGATGATTCTGAGTAGCTTTGTCATTTGAGGCAAGCCATTCACATATCTCTAACCTTGGCCACTTGTATTATTGAAGATCAAACAGAAACTTTCATAAGAAGGACTAAACAAGAAAGTGCCACCGTACACTCTTGCCACTGGTGCTGCCAAACACATCTCCTACTGACACCACTTTGGAAAGTGTGGCTGGAGGGTCTCCGAGTACAGCAGCTCCACAGCCTTTACTTACGTCCCTCCGACATTTCTATAATTTTTTTTTTAGTATCTGAGAGGATTATCCCCTCTGTGGCTAAATTTAGGTAACATACTGCAGGCAGGCAGATTTTTGTATTTTTCCCCTTCATAAGACAGGCACATGTCTGTTCCTTTTTTCCTCCTGTATTAAAAAGCTGTCTGGTATTAAATTACACACACTCTTTTATTGACAGAAACTCAGTCTGTGCTACTGCTCCTTGGAGAATTTCTATCCTCCCAACAGGAGGAAGGTGCTTTTATTTTTTTTTTCTTCTTAAAATGAGTACAGCTTTTAAAAACGAACTTTGTACTTCTCTCTAACAAAGCCACCTTTTTCAAGTGATATTTTACATTTGAGCTGGGCCCACTGCTGGGCAACCTAACAAGTGAAAAACATGAATCTGTCACTAGATGTTAACTATTAGCTCTCCCTTAGTAGCAATAGGAAATTTGGCCTGTGCTACCTCCTGTAAGAATAATTTATTCCATTAAAGCTCAAATCCAGCAGATTACCTATGAACAGAGGGAACAAATGCACTGAATACAGATGCAGTAAAAAGGTTTATTACCCAGACATATTCCAACTTACAATATGCAACTCTGGATTTTGAGCATTAACATACACGTAAAGTCACTCCTGAAATTTTGGAACTGACCAGAAATAAGCATGAATGGCTTTATGCTGAATTTCAGTCCAGCACTAGCTTCAATGAAGGAGCAATTTCACAGACCTCGCCACTATGAAAAACTAATACAGCCAGGTTTGAGGGTTTTTTACCAATAATATTGGAGATAGAGGTACCCTCCCTGTGCTTAGTTCTCCATTAAAGCTCCATTAAAGCATTTGTATGCCTTAAGCCTTGGCAGTATTACCCCTCTTCTCAGGATTTCCTGACATTGCCAACACTGAAACAGCCATGCTAGAAGCCTTCAGTCTTCTGACCATCCCTCACTTTATCCTGAGCAAAGGAACTTCAAGCAGTACAGTTTAAGATGCCTTGTTATACCCCTTTCTAAGCATTACCACTCTAAAGGAGCAGTACTTTTTAGAACAACATTTTATGGGTCTGGAGTAACAAAGCCAAGGAAGATCCATATGTGCCACAAGATAAGCCAGCCTCTACAATTTTAGCAGTGGTTCTTACTCCAAATGCCAGCAGAGCCAGAGCTTCCACCTAAGATACCTGTATCTAGGCTTCTTTGTATGACTATGTTTCAGCATCTGGGGGGGGTGGGAAGTAACTGCTATTTTTCCCTCTAGACCATCAAAAATATTCTGGCTGATGTCAAACATGAAAAAGTTTAATCCTCAAGAGTTACATTAGGCTCCTAACAAACACTCCTACTCCCAGGAAACAGCAGAAGTTGAATTACAGGCAGCACTGGACACGTCAGTGCATTGGTGCACAAGCAGCTGTAGGATGTAGTTTATCGGGTACCTTTTGTCCAAATCTACCTTTAAAGGCACTGCTGCGCATGTGAGCTAGAGGGTAAGCAAGAGGACCAAAAGCTGCCATTTCAAAGAAGTGGTCTACGGGAATTTGAGCCATTTATCATGAGTTACCATTATAAGGGATGCACAGAGGTTATTTTAGTGTTTCATTGTTGTTAGCTTTCAATGCAAGTTTCTTGAAGCTTTGAGGACTCTTGAACACTGTTTAGCTCAAAGCTAAGTTCTTCTCTCAGCTCATATAGACACAGAACAATCTGGAAAGCAACCTGCTTGCTGAATACTCTGTTTAGATTGGACATATTGACAAGAATTTTCCATTCATCTCTTTCTATGCCATTCACAGTTTATCTTGGGTAAGGAATGACATACTCAGTCATACCTTCCCACTTTGGCTTTTGCTAGAATGGCCTTTGTCATTAGAAAGAGTTTCTTTTTTTTTGTTTCGCCTCTTGAAAGAGTCTTTTGTTTCATTTTTATGATGACTGAATATTGCTTTGTTCAGATTTTTTGTGTGTCATCTGCATTCAAAACGTCTCCTTTGTATATCAGTTTTCTTCCTACTGAATCATGCTCCACCTTCATCTCACTAGATGAGTCACCATCTATACTGTTTGCAGAACTTCACACTTCTGGCAGCAAGGCCTGACTTCTAGAGTTATTCATGGCAATAAAAGTCTGGGGAGCAGATAACTCAGGAAACTTGTAACAAGATAGTGATTATTTCAACCTTGGGTCCTTTGTTCGGGTTTAACACTGCTTATGATACAAAAAACAGTAGAATTCAGCCTCCTGGCTGCACAAATAATCACTGCATCTTCCCAGGAGTAAGCACTACCCTCAGCAGTAGAGCTCTAAGACAGGGCTGCTCATTTGTATGCAGCAGAGGCCAGCAGTATCATGATCACGAAGCTCTAACAAAACCATTCTTAAATCTCTTCAGCAGTAATAAAGTCACTTCCCTAAACACTTAGGGCCTCATTACCAAATCCCCACATCTGCTGGGTGTACAGCAACATTGCAAGCTTCACAGACACAGCAGAAATGGGGAATTCTCACTGCAGGCAACACTCACTCATGAGCGAGCACTGAGGTGATTAGCACATCATTCTTTCTAGGCTTCCATTGGTATCCAAGTCCATCATCTCCATACATGAAAATAAAACTGAAGGCAAGCAGCAAAGTGTCACCCCAACATCAAAATATACTCTGCTGAAAGCTTTTAATGTCTCTACAGACAGATGCCCTGGAACAGACACTGAAGAAACTACCAACTAGGCCAGAAAAAATTCAGTTTGGAAACAAGGAAGTGGATGATTTTACAGTGAACGACATGAAGACTTTAGCTGAAGCAAAGACCCAGGTCATCTAATTCCGCTATGTATTTTTCCAGTGTTTGCTTTACCATGCAAACCCCTCTACTTTTTATAAACTGAGCTAATGCAGACAGTTTATGTACAATCTACTACCAAAACCTGATTAACTGCAGCACAGTGGGTCCTATATTCATCTCATAGATACTGGAAATCCAGTTTTATTTTTTACCAAAAGCCTGGAAGATTACTAAAAAATACTCATAAGAGAAGAAACTTCTGTAGCAGTCTCCCCCCCACCCCCCCCAGCGAAAGATGCTTCTTCCACAGTCAATAAACGGACTATATTCAGTGCTAACTGGAGTAACATTCTGATCACATTTGGGTAGGAAAAGAGAAAGAACTGCTGCACATGTTTGACACATATCTACTTCCATCCCTTTCTACAAAGTATTAGAGATGTTTGTTGTTTTGCTCTAGGCTAGGGAAGAGGAACCGAACAAATGCCACACATTTTTTTCCCAGCAACTGCCCACCAGACTACACGTAAAAGGACTGCCCAGGTTTTAAAAGTCAAGGAAGTACAGACACCCCTCACCTTTAGGTGGTGAGCCAGGGGTACCACAGAAGGAAGTAACTGCAGTAAAAGCCACAGAAAACCGAAGACTCAGTCATAGAGTCCAATAGTTTACAACTGCATCAAGGAAACAATCTGGATTTACGTTGTCTTGCAAAAATGAAGAACTCCTCTCCTCCCTGCAAGCTGTCTTTTCTTGGCACATAAGTAAACGATTTCTCATGGGGCACAACTGAGTCTTCCTGCTGCCTACCTTACCTGTGAAAATGAGGTCTAAATTGTTAGACACTAATTGAAAATAACAAAACAAATGAGAAGAGCCAGGAAGACACAAATGAGTAACCAGCCAGTCACTGAGTTCAAGCACATACGTATTATCATGATTCTACCAAATTTACTTTTTTATTATTAAATTTAGCACACTTCTTGGATGGCTCCATGAAAAGCTCCTTTCCCTAGGGAGCAGGGAACAAGGGGTTTGGAAGGCATTTTATTACACATGGGGAGGCACAAACGCAGGAATCTGCAGGGAAAGAGCTGTGACCAGCAGGGATTTGGGGCAGTAGAACATGGTGGGATCCTAAAAGTAAGAACAAAGACTTCCAAACTCCTGTGCAGAGTAAGTGGCAAAGCAGTGAGAGCTCCTGATAGTAAGGTGACAACAGGGCCCCAAAACACCTATTTGACAGGCATTGAGCATACAAGGCGAGGACAGAACAAGTACTCAAGCTATAACAGAGAAAACAGCAGGCTGAGATATCCAAAACACAGGTGGGTTGTCCACATGGAAGAAGATTGTTTCTGTTACAGAATGATGTATTTTGTCAGTCTTTTCACTTTGGAAACCCCCATGCCCTACCTCCAACATGCACTCAATATTTATTACAGCCAGCTCTTCCAAAAGCAAGAAGTAAAGCAATAGTGCCATTCATGCTCCCCCTGCTATTAGCCAGGCCACCTCATTCTGGTCCATCTCTAAACGTGTCCATTCCACTTCCATTTGGGCCACAGACTCTACCTGCCTCCCTCCCTGATCAATCCCATACCTCACTCATCTCTGCTCCTACCCTAGCTCTTCATTTTCTTACCTCCAGCTACAGGTCACATTCTTCCTTCCCACCTTCTAAACCAAGGAACTTCAGCTGCAGCACAGGACCACTCATCTCTTAAATCCCAGGCCAAGCACTGCAGAACAGACAAAAAGGTAGTCCCTGCTTTTACAGTCCTATGGTAATTCTCCCTGTCATTCTCAGCAAGAAAAAAGGCTTTCCTGCCTTCTCTTGCCAGACATGTACTAAATCACTAAGGGGAGGAGCAAGAGCTCATCTCGTTTCCTGAGCAGCTGGGATCTCACCTGAGGAGCTGCATAAGGCAGCTCCTTACTCAGGCAGTCAGGCATCAGAAAGAGCCTGTCCTTTCAGCCTAGCTCCAGGCCTGGCCAAATTGGCAGGTTTTGTGAAAAAAACTCTATCAGCAACAGAGAAGAAAATGTGATAATCACCCTGTGTTCCCCAGAAAGGACTGTAGAGAAACAGGAAAAATAGAAAAAAAAAAAGCCTTAGGAAACAGAGAAACTTTATTCAGCTGGTTGAAAATTATCCAACAACCTGACAAATAGGAGAAGTAAGATTCTAAACTTCTGTAGGAGAAGTAAAGATTTTAACACAGTTAACCCAAGCTGTTCACTGAATTTTGCCTCTTAGGTACTTTAAGCGGAGGCTACCTGGCCAAGCTTGGAATAAAAGCTGGTGTATGTATGAGTACACATATATATATATCTATATCCATACAGACTGCTCCACCAAGTTAGAGTAATTTGCCTCTCCTTGCAGTAAAGTTACTCAAGGGCTAATAGTCCCCCAGTGCCTTCCCATAGTTTCAGAAGGACAGATGATGGTTTGTTCACAGCCAATGCCATTTCTTTCACTGTTTCTCACGTGGGGATCTTGGCTCCCTGCAGCACAATGCCCAATAAGCCCTTGTGATACAGAGAGAGAAGTATGGCATCAGGAAAGGTGCATTTTTGTAACAGGATGACGCATGGGCTCCTGCCTAGCTTACCTGCATGTCAAACATGATTGCTAGTCTCCCAAATCAACTATGCAGCAAAGATACCCCGAAAAAGGCAAAAAGAAATAGGAGGGCCTTTGCAAGTGTTGTTACTAATAGCAGTTTACTTAGAAAAACTTACTTGAATTAAAGATTCAAGACCAAGCTGTGGCACAGTGTAGTTCAGCTGGCAGTCAGAGAAGTGACACTGTCTAGCTTGTCAGCTTTACTAGGGTAGGGCACAGACCTGTTTCAGAAGTGAAACACTCAATTCTTCCTCCTGAGCACAGCCGAGAGTTTAAGCCCAGAGCAGGTAACTTTTCCACATCCACCTCAGGGGACAAGGTGGGTATGAAAGGTAGGTAGCCTGGTATAGGCTTTGTCAAGGGGTGGTTGTGTTGTCTGGCCAACCCCGTCAGGCCAGCAGGAGGAACATTCTGAGTCTTTCTAGGATGCTTGTTGGAAGAGGCTGAACACTGCGTACAAGCCATGGAGGGGAGTCTCAGAAAAAATGCATGGATTTCTCCTTATACAATGTTCACAGCAACTTTAATTATTGCCTTTGTTAGGAGGATCTGCTGAAACTCACAATTTCATACTTCTTGGCAAAGTAAGTTTCTGAGTCTTTTCCTCCAATAGAAGATCAAACTTTGGTTGGGCACACAGTTTAAATCCTTTCTGAACTTGGAAGTAATTTAAAAATAAGGATCAAATCTCTCTGTTGAGTAAACTAATGTTTCTATTACAAATAAGAAGCAGTTAAAGTCTGCCTTCCTGAATTGTGTATATATGTGAACAGTGATCTAACTCTAACTGAAAATCATCAATGTCTTTCCACTGCCTGCAGTGGATGCTAGACTTGGTCTCTTGATCCATAAGAGAACAGCTAAGCAGGGAGAACAAAGCTACATTTCTGAGCAAAGGAACAGCCTGCTGTTTTAACTGAGTTCAAAGGAACAGGACGCTGTAAATATTCCTGTGTATAGAATTACAGAGATATAGCTGACAACAGCAGAGCTCCTCGACATGGCTAACTGCTTGCACAAAAAAAGCAGGGCAGCAAGTAGGTGCCAGGTGTCTGCTTTTAAAATTCCTTCAAGTATTTAATGTTCTCCTGTTTGACTGGTAGGTCTCTTACCAATGACCTTGGTGCACAGTTCTGCAGTGCCCATGACCAAGCACGACTGACTTGTGTCACAGCTGCCTCTGCACTAATCCCTCTCCCTTGACGGATCTGGAAAAGGCAACAGGTAAGCAGTAGGAGCCCACAGCACCATAGCAACTGTGCGAAGGAGCACCAGTCTCCCTGTCAGCACTGATCTCCCTCTGCTAGCCATGAATGGAAGGAGACAGACACACAAGCCTAAGCAAAGGTGACTTGAGCAAAGATGCCTTTTCTCCCATGCTGGGGCAGAGATAGGAGGGGAGGCAGGAGCATCTCAGTAGGCCAGACCAGCCAGGGCTTGCTCTTCTCCAACTCTTCCAACCATCGTGGACCTATTTCCACAGGAGTGGTTTGCCTGAATTTTCTCCCTCGAGCTTCACCAGAGGGCAGCTACTTTCTGAAACCGAACTCAAACTGGCTGAGCAACTGGGTGAACAGCACCGGAGCTACGGATGTCTGAGCATGACAAGCACCGGGATGACTAGTGCTTAAGTTATGCACAAGCTAAGTGATTCCTACTCTTGGCATCCAGGGACGACTTCTCAGTCTCTGCTCTAAACCTCACAGATTACTTTCTGAGAGGCACTGAACCCTTGTCTCAAGTAGTATGTGGGGGGAGCCATTTTGGAGCCTCCTGCTCACACAATGAAGCAGCAGCTGGAACACGATGCTGTAACATCTCCTCAAACCCCTCTGAGCATGGGGCTTTGTGCAGCACGCCTGCTGCTCTTGCCTCTGCCTGGCACAGGGATTTTCCCCAGGGTTTTCTTGCCGTTCCCGCACAAAATGCGCTAGGCCTGTGTGCTGCCCGCCCACGGTTGGTGGCCTCACCAGGGCCCTCGCTGTCTCCCCCATCCAGCTGTTCCCAGGCCCAGCTTCTGCATCTTCAACCCCGAGACAGCTTCTCGCTCCTCCTGGTCCTTGCGGGACGCCGTGTCTTTTGCCAGCCAGGTACAACTCACGGCAGACCGCCACCCCCACAGGACCCGACCTGTGGCAGGGGCCGAGGGCAGAGCCGCGCCGGGGACGAGCCGCGAGCTGAGCACGGAGCTCCCTTCCCGGAGGCGGCGGGCCAGCCCCTTCCCCCGCCGCCCCAGCAGGTGTCACCCTGCCCCGCGGAACGCCCGCGGCCGGTGCCGCTCCCCTCCCCCGGGCCTGCTCCTCCTTTCCCCGGCTCCTCCGGGCCTCTGCTGGGCCGCAGGTCAGCCGGAGCACAGAGCCGGAGGGAAAGCCGCCGCCTCATGGGGAAAGGAGACTTCCCCAGGACAGCCAGAGTCCAGGTTGGACCGGTGATGGTGCGGGAAGCTGGGGGGAACCAGCCACTCCAGGTTCCCAGAGGCTGCTCGGCCGCTGCCAGTGGAGGGGTTAGGTATTTCTGCCCGTTTTTATTTTTCTTTTCCCCTCAGGAGTGTTTGAACAGGAAGGGATAGTATCTCGCACACAATTTATGATACTGTCCCTTTCAGTCACAGTTTCCTAAGATACTCAGCTAAAAGAAAAATGTGAATAACTATTCATTCATGCTGTCGCTAGGAAGAATACAGAGGGAAAAATAGAGTTCCAAGAATACAGAAAGACAAGTTAAAGGGAAGTATGATTATGCATGTACTATCAATTTGCTCTTTCTCTTACTACAAAGACAGCTCTACCTCCAGAAGCAATGCCAGTAATCTCCCTACCAGCTTTTTCGTGTACAAAACACCTCTGTTGAAGGACAATGCTCCATAGGGTGGTGAGATGAAGAGTTCAAAGGAAGGGAAAGAAAGAATTAGTAGATCAGGGCCAGGTTTTGCTCTGATGGGGGATTGCATCCACACACGCACTTTGTGCTGGTATGAGTGCATAGGGTCTGGTCCCTTTGCTCAAGGCTGACACCCATGTTTGTCCTTCGGTCTCATTCTCGGGCAGGTAAGAGCACTACAGGAGTTCCCTGTGGGTTGTGGTCAGAG